GTCATCTGACCAGATTTTTAAAGAGGTATGATAAAGGGCATCATGGTTGAATATGCAATTATAAGCTCTTTTGTGTGTGATTTCAGTGAGATTTATAATTATTATACAACCGACTCTTTGAAATCTCATCCCTTTATACCAGGACAATTAGGACACTTAGACCCATTTAATTGACCAGACATTTCGACCCCTTATTATGCATGAAGACATTACTTCAGAAAGAAAGTGAGTGATGTTTTACAACTTTGATTTGATATAATAGATGATATTTTGAATTTTTAATAAAATCATAATCATTCATAAAACCGATAATAACATATCTTTCATTTTCACCCAAGCATTTTAAAATACAATATGGGGAACATAACAAAATGTTTGCATAAATGTTTGGTTCCGCCAGTACAAGAGAAAATGTATAATTACCCATTTACACAGTACAATGATAAGAAAAAATAGAGACCTTTCTAAGGTCTAAAAAAAAGAGTTATAATTAAGATAGCAGAGGCAAAAAATTGGCGAATCTCCACTGAACAATCAAAAAGTCCCGTCTTTTTAGAACTAATTTCCTTTATAAATTGTATGTATTTAATGTATGGCTAAATGATCCACATTTTATTTTTAGTGATATAACCAAAGTGGGGTCATTTGTGTTTTTCACAACATGCAATGCTATTTCAATCTGATTTAAGGGTGATCGATCTGATCTTCTATTGCGTAATATGTTACGTAATTTATTGCCTGTCATGATAATGTTTTTCATAGGTTTTGGGGTGTCAACATACATTGGGGGCCAATCAGATCTGTCATTGATTTATTTTGCAATCCAATCTATTTATTAGCAGAATGGTAATTCCTTTATTTATTGGTAATTAAAAATTATAACTGCAATAACCAAACCCCGCCAAACTTTATTACATGATGACTCTGTTACGGCCAATGAAATACATTTAAGGTAATCATCCAATCAAAATCATAATTTTTCATATTTTTATTCATTAATGATATTCTTTGCTAATCTTTATGTAAATACTCCTTTTCGTGAAGATGAAAGTTTGAAAGTTTACATGATGTATTTTATAGGGAAACCAATACTTTGGCCAACCCAAGGAGGTACTTGATTTATATTGACTTGTATAGGACTTGTCATTCATTCCAATACTTAGTAACCTATAACAATTAAACTTCTCATTCGGACACCTTGATAAGTTCTACCTACCACATACATTATCAGGTCAAAAGGTCAAGGTCATTGGACTTGATATATCAGATATCCAACGGGCCATAAAGTGTTAAAGCATACACATAGGGACTTCATTCGTTCCATGTGGTTACATCTTCACATATCTAGTCCTCAAGTGACCACTTTGGGGCCTATTTCCCTTACTATGAAATTGTAATATGCCTCTTTGTTAATTTTATCATTATCCAGGTTATCTTTAAACTGAAAGTATTGCATATAATCTGCTTACATTACTGTAGCGAAGGTAGTGAATCAAATGCAGTTCTAGCAGGTCAAAGGTTAACAAAACAACATGTTGGAAAACGTTGGATCAATGCAAATCAAGATATAATTTGAACACGAGTCGACACATAACTAGTTTAAAAGTAGAAAACGGAAAAGAGAGACAACTGTAAGGTAAGCATATTACACTGCTCCGAGGTAAAAGGATATTGAACGCGATAAGTATATAGTGATTAATGTGCTTCTTAATATAAATATTATCACTCATGTTTTCGGGTTTTAATTTCATTAGTGATTGACTGATTAAATCTTCACAATCTTGTATATAAACACTTGATAACTTCATTCATTGTTGAAAGTGTTACAAATAAAACATTCGGCCGGAATACAGCAAAATGTTTAAAAATGATCAACGATGTAAGACTTGTTAAAAGAATGTATGTATAAACATTATTTGGTTGTTCCAGACAGAGCTGCAAACGGCATATTCTGTACGGACATTGTTAAACTTTGGCTAAAAATCTTCAATAACATAAGTTTCAAATCTGAAAATGTGAACAGTTATGACATGGTAGCAAAATTCAATAATTTGACCTGTAATTTCAAGGTCAAATAATGGTCGATGTCAAGTTAAATTTATCCACTTAATGTCATATCATAGGGATTGTTATAACCATTTATAGCAAAAATACTATGAAACTACAATATTTTGACCTTCAAGATCAAGGTCATTTATAAGTCAAGAATAAATTTAATTTCATCTTTTATGAAAAATTGTCCTTAAGGAAACAATCTATTCATAAATAACAAAATTGTAACCAGTGTTTGAACAAAAACATGCAAAATGCAGTCAAGGTGAGTGATGAGCTAGAGAGTAAAGGTCATTATCAATTTAGTCTACTTCGAGGTTTTGTCCAAGGGATTGTTGTGCCCAAGTATGAAGACCTTCCATTTGTAAATAACAAAGGAATAGCTATTTTAGCAAAAATTAAGCAATCTTCAAACATTTTACCTTGAAGGTCAATGCAATTTATACGGGGAAGTCAAAGGCCGGATCCGCGGAACGGGCCCGGACTTTGGCTTGCCCGGCTATATACTACATGCGTATATTTAAAAAAAATCAAATAAAAAGCATTCAAAATATATACTATCAGTGAAATTTTCAGTGTCATACCTAGTTGGGGGCCGCCATTTTCAATGTAAGTCTATGATAATAGGCGGAGTATTCCGATAGAAAAAAAAATCAATTGCAACTTTTCGACTTCGAGTTGTTACAAGTGAAAACAGAAGTGGTGCATGAAATACCGAATGCCACCTTTAAAATGGAAAATGTAAAGTAAAAACTTCCCCGTTCATAGGCTTTGCCTAATTTTATATTAAGTGAAGTCAAGTTTAGTCTGGTCTACTTGAAGGTCTTGTCCAATGGGTTATTGCGTGCAGGTATGAAGTCTATCCATGAAGAAAGTAATTATAATGGCCAACGTTTAAGTATGTTCTTTGACAGAAACGGCACCCACTACCTGATTTTAATGTCAATAATTTAACAGAACAATGGAAGGCTTTTAAAAATCAATTTTATACCTTGCCTGATTTGCTGCGAGACGATGCGGAAGTAGCGACATGGAGCTCATTTAAAATCTCAACACCATGATAATCAAACGGTTCACTGTTACATTTGGTTTGAAGATTTAATAATCCGATAAATATTTATTTAAACGAAAACTATATATTAAGATTGTGCAAAATCAATATCACGCCTTAAAGAAAGTTAAAAGCGAATGAAACATCTTTCATATCCAAAGTGAAATGTAATTGTTTCCTCGCCATAGGAAAGATATGCACTCACGGGGCGCTTTAATCAAGTCAAATCAATAGATAAAAGGAGAGATCAGACTATTAAAATAGTTGATAATTTCTCATCATATCAATGGCTATTAAACCACTTTGGTTTGACTTTGTCTAATCTCGCAGAAAAAAAGTTATCATTAAAGCATTACATCATTATTTTTTCGCTTTGGACTCGTAGTCACTGGAGTTGGATTTGATTCTTGTATCGTCAAATTGGCATACAACATTTCATGTAAGCACGCATCTAACGAGGTATACCAAGTGAATCGGTATATGACCAACTAATCAGTAAGCAAAAAACAAATAAAGCATATCAAATAAGTCAGTAATGATTTATATATTGCATGGAAATCAATCAGCAATCTTGATGCATACATGGCATGAAAATCAATCATAAATCATAATGCATACGTGACATGAAAATCAATCTGTTAGAATAATGCATATGTGGCATGAAAATCAATCAATCATTTTGAGGCACAAGTAGCATGAAAATCAACCAGTAATGATGCATATGTGACATGAAAAAATCAATCAGTTATCATGATGCATTCGTGGCATGAAAATCAATCTGTTAGATTAACTAATATGTGGCATGAAAATCAATCAGTTAGAATGATGCATACGCGGCATGGAAACCAATCAGTTAGAATGAAGCATACGTGGTATGAAAATCAATCAGTTAGCATGATGCATACGTGGCATGAGAACCAATCAGTTAGAATGATGCATACGTGGCATGACAATCAATCAGTTAGAATGAACATAAAAGTGCAAGTCAGTCATGCCAAGTCAGGTTAGATAGCATAAAAACGAGGCATGCCAAATGAATCAGTCAGCATGAAGCTACGATGGATGACAAATCATTCAGTCTAAGGCAACGAGTCATGCCTCCTAATCAATAGGTTGACATTAAGCGAGCAGAGTATGACATCTCAACTCAATCAATTAGAAATTTAAAGCAAGCAAAGTGTGCTAAATCAATCAATCAGCTTAAAGTGAACGAGGTACTGTAAATCAATCAGCAAACGGACAAGTCACTTAAAAAAATCATCCAGCATAAAGCAAGCAAGGCATACCATATCAGTTAGTCAGAAATTAAGCAAGCAAAATATGCTCAATCAATCAGTCAGCTTAAACAATCAATCAGCATGAAGCAAGCAAGGGATATCAAATTAATTAATTAGTCAGATATAAAGCAAATCATAGAAGACCAATCATTTAGCGTGAAGTAAAACCGGCAGGCCAGCTTGATGCAAAATGAATAATGTTCAACAGTAAAATAATATAATAATCTAATATCATTCTGTTTTAAGTTTAACCCTTCACCTGCTGAATCGATAAGTATTAAGCATTGCCCATTTCTGTAAATATAGGTCCGTTCACTAACTAGCTGGAATGGGTACCAGCGAGAATTGCAGGCGCTGTTTACGGAACAAAGTCTTTATACTTTTAATTTTTCGACAAAGTAACGTCCTAATCCATTATTGCTCATATTGTTCACATATTCAAAAGGTGTACGACAGTTCTTAGGGTTATGCAAACAAAAAAACGGGAGCCAAATTGAACAGGGCAAAATGTTAAAGAATGTGTTTTGCATGTAAATATTACACAAATTATATACAAATTAAGTTTCTGTTAAACTTTTAGATCTAATCTAACACAGAACATAAAACATGAATGGCAGATTAGCAAAATAATGATATTAATAATAACTATGAAAAAGAATAAAATGCAAAATAGAAAAAATGCAATATTGGCAAATTCTCACCTAGAGATTAGTGTGGAGAAAAGAAGAATGTTACAGAAAAATCCAAAAATTTAATATACACTTAGTCTTTCAAGTATCAGAATATATCTTGCACATATCATATACCCTTAAAGAAAATGCAAATCTATAAAAATATAAGGTCTTAAAGTGACATTATGCCCATGCAAGTGTAAATGGTGGGTTTACATGTCAAAGTCAAAATAATTTGGGCATAGACCTAATTGTTTTAGGTCATGTGCATATGACCAACGTTGCTCACATAAAATGCTATAAATATCTTCAACATTCAATTGTGAAAAAGAGTTGGGCTGTTATTTTTGTATTATAGACAATTGTTATACTTCATCCTAAACATTTTATATTATCAACTATTGGCCAATGGCTGTTATAACAGTCAATCATTTTAAATATATAACCAATTCAGCTCAAGTTGACAACGAAAAAAAAAGCATAAGGTCACTTTAAAGCAACAATTATGATATTCATAAGACATGCAATCTTAACTTTAGATGAAATTAACAATTAAACTGTACAAGTGATAGTCGTTAGGTAAGAAAATACTTATGGGAAATGACTATCAACGGGTACATAGGTAAAAATAAGTATAAAGGTGAATAAACAAATCATTACAAGTATATAGTTATATATCAATATTTCTTTTTCATCAATATATCATAGTGTCAAACAAGGGCATTAATTTTCCTATGAAATATGTACATGTACTCTGTTACGTTAGAGGGACTCCAGTGAGTTTTTTTGTTTGACACGACGGGATTGAAAATATTTCTTTTTTCAAGATTAATGCTCAATAATTAATCTTGAAATAGATCAATAACTTGTCTGCCAAGCTCACTATCTTTTTTTCAGAATAAATATTCTAATTTTGAAAAATATTCCAAACTTGAATAGTGTTGCACTAAATTCGAACTAAGAATAATACAAAAAACACGTTTTTCGATTTATTTCTGAGTATATTTATTAATTATATTTTGACAGTGATCTGTTTTAAATGTCTAAGTAGATTTATATTTTAAGAATTTCACATTACATATATTTCGGCTATTGGACCTCAGTGGAGTTCCTTCAAAAAACAAAATACATGTAACAATTGCACCAATATGCTATAGTCAGGGAATCACACATATTGTTCTACAAAGAACCACCTCCAAAGAACATAAATCAATTTCGATAGAACTAAATGCACATTGTTCTTTATTACATATAAATATGTAGACTAAACAAGCCTCACTTTAAAACAGTTTTAGAACTTTAATTTAATTGTTGCTTTTGTTTACAAGACATTTGAACATTAAAAGACTTGTTTTGAAAGTATTGGCACTAAGTCGACATGGCTATTCTCTTTTGCTTGTTATACAATGTACATAGCCTAATCATGGACATGTCATCCTCGACACAACATTCACAATGACTTTTCGGATACACCCGAATCATTAAAGGGACTCTAGAAGGTATCAAAGCCTAATAACATAAAATTTGAATTTCTTACATAAATGAGTTTATGCACTAATAGCGGGAATATATGCACAGGTAGTTAGAAATAGATTAAAAATTATATTGTTCGTGCTTTTCTTAGCCAGAATTGAAAAAGGGTCATTTTAAACAATTTATTCGAATAAATATTCTGGAAAAACTGAGTGAGCGAATGATCTGAAATTTTGCACAAAGTTAATTGGTCTTGACTGCTTCAGATGGTCCAGGAACATTTATCTGGGAAAATAATTTCCAGTCTCGCCATGTGAAAAAAATACAGTGGAGTCCCTTTAAAATTTTTATTAGATAACATGTCCATCAACCTTGGGTATCCAACGATACTCGAATTCATGAGAGAAACACCTCTACCATGATAAGACACATTTAAGCTTCTTTGAAAATAAAATCTGTAAAACTAACATTATCACTGTTTAATGTGAATGTAATAATTTTCATTCAGCACATGGTCATGCAATCGAAGTATTTCCAGTTGTAATTGTTTTTGTGAGGCACTTTTAAACGCACGAGACCTTACATTAAAAGCTCATTTTTTTATGTCCATAACGCTTTTTATTTGTGATGCCCCGTTATAATCACAATTTAAAAAACTGTTCACTCATTGCTAAAAATCTTGATAATAATATGACAGTCGACAAATTCTTTCTAGAGCTGACAACCTGCTTTCATTAGGTGTTCGAAATTGGTCTGGACCGTGCGGAGTATTCTATATTTCCTTCCCATTCTCCTAGCCTGCTTAGGGCTTATATACTCCATGACTAATGTTGATCCCATTAATGGATACCGGTAACTGTAAATAAAGAAAATCTTTAACAACTTTGCATTTATATCGCATGTAATCTTAACATATCGTATGTTTAAAATGACAAAATGGCTTATGGTTTCTGAGAATTTTGATAGGTTTTAATTTTCTACTGTCGTCCATAAACAGGCTCATTCAAATCAAGTCTGTAATATTAGTAATTATTCCGTGATTTATGATTTTAAAATCTCCCACACAGTGAACTCCCCTAACAGGATTAAATTATTGGCCGTAGCGTAACCGGTGCGCGGTGTTTGCACTAAATGCTGGTGACACAGGAAAGCCATTCAAATACGGACAAAAGGGAATTCCCTGTGATATAAACAAAGCAAATAGTTGAAAACCGCGCAATTCGTGTGAGTATAATAAAAGCGAAATATTTGGTTTTAATCAGTCCGTCTATGAGAGATAACGCCGTCTATCACCTGAATACCCGATATCATTGACACCTGCTATCGTGAGAAAAGGGGAGATCACTGTCACTTGTATAACAGTATGGAAAAGGGGAGATCAATGTCAGCAGTATAACAGTATTGAAAAGGAGAGATCACTGTCGCCAATATAACGGTATTGAAAGGGGTGGGTCACTGTCACCAGTATAACAGTATGGGAAGCGGGAGATTACTGTCGCCAGTAAAACCTTATTGAAAAAGTGAGATAACAGTCACCAGTATTACAGTATTGAAAAGGGGAGATCACTCGGGAGCATAGGTCACGAAGCGAATAGCTGACAACTGCCGACTCGGTTTTTATTTAGTCTATTCGTAAGATGTAATGCCATGTGCAATAATTCTCACAACACGGTGTGATGGTTTTGTACAGAACAGGGAGAAAACCATTGAAGATTTCAATATATATTTTTTTATCAAGTTTACTTTATAAATACATGTATTTAAGTTTAAACAATATTTAACTTGTGAAAAATCTTTTATCAATTACATACGGTGTTTTAAGTAAGAAGGAAAATGTTAGTAACGTAAATAAAATTGGGTTTGTGTTTGCCATTCAATAAACATAGGGTTTGATTTAAAAGAAACTGAAATCACTTTATTCACCATACATTTTAACACTATCTTAAATCTCCTTTTTTCCCGTAGGGTACGATCAACATTCATTCAAAACAAAGGCATTCAAAACCCAATATGCGAAACATTTGGTTTACTTACATTACTCCGCTATCAGCATTAACTTTATTGCCATCTCTGCCTATTATTATGTAAGTTTTGTTCTCTTTCAATGATGGGAAGTCACAAAAGTGTTTCCAGAAAAATTGCATCTCGTCGTCTTTTTCAAGAGCCTCTATCCCTGTAAAATGACGTAAAATGTGTCGTGTATATTTTTTCTTTTCTTTATACGTAATGCAGATGGAACATAAAAAAATCTTCGACATTTTCCTAGCGATCTACATGTTCATACACAATACGTGCTGTAAATACAAAATATGTGAGACAGAAATTAAAACGCCACAGGCAAACGTAACCAAACGTTTAGAAACGCTCGTTATTTTAATGCAAGCCGTGATATATCATAACGCTATTTATCACATATCCTTGCCGCTTTTACGACTCTGAAAAACGATATTGCACGGCCGTTCATACAATTATTTTAAGAGGATGTTATTTGCGCTATTCAGACATAGTGTAAAGACCCGGTAATGTTAGCGCAACACTATAGGAGAGTCAATGACAAAAAAAGTATTTTTTTACTGTAAGGCTATGTTATGAATAGAAAATTTGTGTAGACTCATTACTTATTCTATTGAAGTCGTTAAATAAAATAATCACTCAGAAGCAAATGTTACGAAGCGAGTAGCTGACAACTTCTGACTCAGTTTAATTTAGTATGCCCATTTAGATATAATGTAATGTGCAACATTTTTCTCACAGCAGAGGAAAAATCACAATTTAAGGTTTAAATATAATTTTCTTTATCAAGTTTGCGTTATATATTAATATAACTTGGCTATTCTTACCTTGATTGATAGATTGCACTACGGTGCCTCTTGCAATTTTATCTTCGCTGTCAACATTATATGTGACCTCTTCTATTCTCACGCGTACAGCTGAAATAAAATTTATTTAGTTGCATATGCAAGTTGTTATCTGTTTTAAGGAAGTCGTGATGAATAACTACGACTGAATAAATAGAGTAGTACATGTATTATGGAATGCTATGACTGTCTTATGAGATCAATGTTTTTGCTATCTTTGAAAGATCATATTATTTTGTCGTTTAAGCATGTTAACATGTGCAATTTACATTATGCCTTGTCAAAGGACCATGCTGAACAGTTCCAACAGCATGTTAACTTGTCTAATTATCATGATCACATGTGCAGACAGCATATTAACTTGTCAAAGTATCGTGAAGACTTGTGCAAACAAGATGCTAACTTGTCAAAATATAATGATGACTTGCGCAAACGACATGTTAACTTGTCAAACTATCGTGATGACATGTGAACACAACATGTTAACTTGTCAAAGTTTCGTGATGACGTGTTCAAAACGACATATTATCTTGTCTTAATGTCATGATGACATGCACAAAATATGTCACTTGCACAAGTCATTATTATACTTTGATAAGTTAAGATGTCTTTTGCACATGTCATCACGATACTTTGACAAGTTAAAATGTCGTTTGCACAAGTCATCATTATATTTTGACAAGTTAAAATGTCGCTTGCACAAGTCATTGTTAATCTTTGATAAGTTAACATGTTGTTTGCACATGTCATCATGATAATATATAACAGCCTCCGGAATAAGTTTGCAAATCCGGATTTCACAAACTCAACTACCCTTTATAATAAAAATTCAAAACAAAACAATAAATCAGACAGTAATGGATGGAAATAGAGGATTATTGACCGTTTGTACAAAGATAGCACAAAAATTAAGCGCTGGGCTAGCATTCAAAGTGTTGTATCCTATGGATTTTTTTTATTCTCCCATTGTATTGTTCGTTTCCCTATGGAGCTCCAGTTAGATTAAAACCCAATTTTCATATATTGGGATTAAAAATCAATGGAAGAAAACAAAAATATTTTCCTAAGTATTTTCACATGTATTGATTATTCTATACTTATTACGAGCTTGTAAGTATTTAAGGAACATATTTAAAAAAAATATGCAATCCTTCCATTGGCGGAACTTACCCAATAAGAAAATGAGAGAAATCTCCCTAAATTATTGTAAATTAGAATGGGACAAAATCCCTTATTACAGCGTAACTGGAAAGATACCCCATTACAGCGTAATGGGAAGATTACATAATGGGATTATTCATCCCTATCTTTTTGTTTAACAAATCTGACAGAATGTTTAAAATTCAAAACTTTTTTATAACTTGATAGTCGGTACGGACTTTTTAAAATAAAAAATGTCCGGTTATTTAATTATTATTTTATTTGTTTAGTTATTTATTAAAGTTGCCTGAGGGTTTCAGTTCAAACGTTTTGCTAAAAGTTTCTCTTCAGTTTTTTTTTCATTTTTTATTTAGAGATTTATTTTTGTCATATTTAACGCTAAATTGTAATTGATGAAATTACCTTTTAGAATATAGACTAAGATTTTTGATAGAAATGGTGATTATGTAGAAATAATGTCGTTTGCACAAGTCATCATGATACTCTGACAAGCATGCTGTTCGCACGTGTCATCACGATAATTCGACAAGATAACCGGTCTTTAAAATTTACAGTCGCTTTAACATTTTTTTGGTAAATTTTACTTTTAAAGTAAAATGTTGGCCCCCAATTCAACGCTACTTTTACAAGTTTTAAATTTTTATTGCACATGTCATCATGATAATTTTGGCAAGTTAACATGTGTCTGACAAGAGCATGATCCCTTTTTAAAAAAATTTTATGTGAATTCACCGTAAATTTTCTCAAACGACAAAATAACATCATGTTTCCCGATAGCAAAAAACAAAGTCACTAAGACAGTCATGGGTTTTCCTTACAGGTATTTAGTTTTTTTTTTTATAAATACTAAATTTTTTCATTTAGTGGTAGAAAATGAATATTTCAAGTAGGGCCCTACCAAGTAAAATTTATTTTTTATTCCAAAAATGAAAAATATATCATGTTTTTTAACAAAAACATTGATTTTTCTGTTTACTTATACATTTTTCCCTTTTTTACATTTGAATTTTAAAAAAATTTTTCTTAATTTTTTTACTGGTATAAATTTGAAGAAGATTCCGGGCCCAAACACCCTTGAAAAACAAAAAAAATGTTTTCCCCTCAGTAAAAACGCATTTTATTCATCAATATTTCTAAAATTTTATTATAGTATATAATAAAAATTTTTTATTTCGAAAAATTAAACTGTAGGGATTAAGAAAATTCCCCAAATGTTTTCCCCATTCACCCTCGATAAAAAAAATTCAATCGATACGCATTTTCTACTATTCATTATCCGAAGAATGACTAAAGGGGGGATAAATGCTTGATAAACAATACTTTCCCTGTAATTCATTTTAAGTAGTGATTGAAAAAAAACATTTTAAAACAAAATACTCATGTATCGTAAACTGTTTTTCCTTATAAGCCTTTTTCCTTTTTACCGCTATTTGGCTCATTTTGGAAAACTTTTTCCCATTCCCTTACCAATCATCTATAATACATGTAACACTACAAAAAGGGTGCCCCTTTTTTACCCAAATTTTGTTGAAACAAAAAACAACAACAAAAACAAGCAGACGATCAATATAAATGTACTTGAATCTTTAAGTAACAGTGCTTCTATTAATACAACTCAGTGATACGCCAGCGAAACAAAATCAAATAAGCTTTTAGCTTGACACATATTATGTAATGATAAAGAAATTTCAACCTTGCTTATGAAATAAATCACAATAAAAATGCTATATACAAGTGAAAAAATGTTAATTGAAAAAAATGCAATGCCGGATTAACAATGTCTTATACAATAGAATAAAATAATTTTTATCATTTCATTAGATTATATTCATCAAATAAATTGTTATGCAATCATGCCATTATAGACATTTTTCTATGTTCAAAGAATCCGAATAAATACAATTTTCTTTTATTTAGCAGTCCATTTGGAAACAAATTAAAAAAGAAAAATTTTTAATAAAACTTAACCAATAGTTTGCTTTTTTGTTCGCCCCGAAGTTAACCCCCCATTTTGTGTATCGGTTACAATTTAAGTGCCAGGTTTTTTCTTCTTTGACCAAACTTTGCAATTTCGTTCTTTCTAACTGGCTGAACACAATCATTTACCTACGAAAACCCATTAATGTTAAACCTTTAACTTACCTTCACACATTGTATTTATCTAAATAAAACACCATTGAAAGACCATTAATTACTTTATTAACGCTACCCAAAAAGGAATCATGAAGCCCTTACAAACTATGTCAGATTCTGACAAAACTCTTTGGTGACAAATTTGTTCAATGCGTATAAAATAAAAAATATCATACTTTATAGACAATATTATAGTGGCAACATATTGTGACATTCCTTGTGTTTATTTATTTTTGATTTGACATTTTTGAATTGAATTACCCACCCAAACCCGCCCCACAATCTTCTAAAAAATAAAACCAAAGAAGCCAAACCAGAAATTTTAACAAAAACTTACTTTGTCAAGACACCTGCATTTCCTTTTGTATTTTTTCTCCGCATTTGTACGAGACACTGTCTGCCCTTATTTTGACCAGTTCCATATATCTGAGTACCAATGCCTTATCTGTAGAGGGAAAAAGAATTTAAAACAAAAAATGTAAATATGTTTTTTACGTCAAATGTCTGATATAATACAGCAAATAAACGAAGAGCAAGAGAAAGAAGTAGGTTTAAAATATCTTCATTATGGTCTGGAACAGATTTGGGAACTGAGCGTGTATTTTAACTGGTGGAAAGTAATGAATTTATAATAAGTTTGCCAGCTTTTCAATTGGAGGTAAAAACCTGTACAGACACCCATTCTCCTTATAAATAGTAATCTTTTCGTAAGTTTCGCTAATTGCCTGATGAAAAAAAATCCTAAATGCTCTTATATAAATTAAAATGGAAATCATTCAAAAATTAAAAGAACAACATACATGGTTTTTATCAAAAACTGTTAATCTTTGACTACAAAAATATGATCTATAGAAGAGAGCGAAATCTTTATCACATCCGGTAAAATTCATATTCCATGATAATGGACACCCCACCAGTGGTTCACCAATTTTATCTGCAAACTGAGACCTGTCGAAACTGGTTATTCAGATTGCTTCCACATTGGCATAATCAAATTGTGAAAACAAATGCATGATGGTGCCAAAGGCAAAAAACTATCCAGAAAAATCCGAAAAATCCTGAATGATATTAATTCAATGCGTTTAATGGACTCGAGAGAGAGAGAGACGAGAAGAGAGACGAGACAAAGGAGAAGAGAGAGAAGAGAGAATGAGACGAGAGCAGAGAGAAGAGGAGAGAGAGAGAGAGGGAAGGGAGCGAGGCAGCATGGGGGGACGAGAGACGAGAGAGATGGGACACAATGTTCACAGCACGGACGGAGTAGTATCACAAACAAGAGGGCCATGATGGCCCTGCAGGGCGCTCACCTGTTTCATGCTAAACAATCTAAGCTCTAGCTTTCCATTTGGGCTTTTTAACAAGAAGATTTTTTTTTTAAGTATTTTACTTCATACACATATATAGTTAAAAACAATGACACCCCTGGGGCCGGGCCAGTTTTGACCCAGCAGGCTTTTATCTTGAACAAACTTTGCAGACACTTACTTAGAAAGATGTTTCATGCTTTATATCTTAACTCTAGCGCTATTTGGGTTTTTTCAAAGAAGAATTTTTAAGTTTTTGCTATACACATATAAGGAAAATCCAATGGACCCCGGTGCGGTGCCAATTTTGACCCCCAGGGCTTTTATTTGAACCAAACTTGGTAGACACCTATTAAGAATATGTTTGATGCTAAATATCTTAGCCATAGCTCTTTGAGTTCTTTAAAAGAAGAATTTTTTAAGTTTTACTTTATGCATATAGGAAAATCAATGACACCCCCGGGGCGGGTCCAATTTTGACCCCAGGGCTTTTATCTGGAACAAACTTGGTAGACACCTATTAGAACATGTTTGATGCCTCAATATCTTAGCCATAGCTCTTTGAGTTCTTTAAAGAAGATTTTTTAAGTTTTTACTAAATGCATATAGGGAAAAATCAATGACCCCCCGGGGGCGGGCCAAATTTTGTCCCCAGGGCTTTTATTTGAACAAACTTGGTAGAGACACCCATTAGAACATGTTTCATTGGCTAAATATCTTAGCTCTAGCTCTTTGGGTTTCTTTAAAAGAAGATTTTTTAAGTTTTTACTATATGCATATAGGAAAATCAATGACCCCCCGGGGGCGGGGCAATTTTGTCCCCAGGGCTTTTATATTGAACAAACTTGGTAGACCACTCACTCTAGAAGATGTTTCATGCCAAATATCTAAGCTCTAGCTCTTATGGTTCTTTAAAAGAAGATAATTAAAGTTTTTTCTTTCGGTTGCCATGGCAACCAGAGTTCTGCATGGAATTAAATTCTTTGAACAATTTTTAAAGGTGACCACGAAAGGAACATTCCTGTGAAGTTTGGATGAAATTGGCTTAGTGGTTTATGAGGAGATGTCATTGAAAGTAAAAGTTTACGGACGGACGACGGACGGACGCCGGACGAAAAGCGATCACAAAAGCTCACCCTGTCACTTTGTGACAGGTGAGCTAAAAATGGAGGCTACGCATCTTTATCTCTGTTGACAATAATTATAGTAAATAAGTATTTTGCCACAATACTTTTTTTGTTTACATTTTGCTACCTTTATGAAACATAACTGCATGTTCAGCTGTAAAACATTTAACATCGCTATGAATCCATTTTTTAAACATCATTAAACACATGTTTGTCATTTCTAAAGGATTACAAAATATCGATTTCTCAGGCGTAATGTCCTTTAGTTTGAATTTAGTTATTCTTGTCAATACATGGTTTATAGTCATCTTACCGTTGATTCAGACATCACGTGTTTTTTTTTGTCAGTCCTTTTGTGGAAAAGCTAGAGAATAATGTTTTTTTTTAATTCAAGGAAATTCGGTAATCTTGAGCAACAGCAAATATATGAATAAAATGTGTTAAAATCGACTTATATTAAACAACTAAAACAAACAAACCTGGGTTGTAGTAGTCGTTATACATAAATTGAAGATGGTTGTCTTGAAACTTTTTCTCCATCAAAAGTGTCCTCTAACCCCCGAAAATATGAATTTTCGTCTCTTTTTAGAAGAAATCTGGTAAAGTATAAATGAAAACATAAGGATTACTTGAATGTACACTTGTATTAAATGTTATGTCAAATAATAAAGATGTGCTCACTCTTGAGTAAAATATGTTAATAAAAGAAATTTTTTTTTTTATTGAAATCCAAATTCTTACTGAATGTGACTAACTTGAAATAAAGAATGAATAAACTATGTATTGGAAGCTGTGTTTCTCTAGGACAGGTCAAGTAAAGTTGGTCTTTTCTTTATAAAAAACTGTCAGTTTCTTAATGACACTATATATTCATATTGTGACCACCTACAGCGTGAAGGATTGCAAAAAAAATAACATAATTATCTACTTTGTGTGCCGTCAAAATATTTTTTTTATTTATAAAGAGGTTATATAGAAATTAGCAATATTTTCTAATATGAATTTTGAGAAAAATATATATCTAAGGAAATATTAAATAGGTGATTTCTTTATTATCTAGGATCACTTTTTATGCTCTCCGAAAAATTTTGGGGGAGCATATAGTCTGCGCCTTGTCCGTCTGTCCGTTCGTTGTCTTGTCCGGAGCATAACTTGAAAAGCCTTGGAGATAATTTGTTGAAACTTCATACAGTGGTAGAGGGCATTGAGGGGGAGTGCAGTGTCAAAGAACCATAACTCTATTTTGCCCGCTTTTTGAATTATCTCCCCTTATAGAAAATTCTTGTCCGGGGCATAACTCTAAAACTATACGAGATATTAACATGAAACATTGAAGGTCAATAGATCTCAATGGGTAGATGTGCAGTGCATAAGGACAATAACTCTTTTTGTCTTAATTTTGGAGTTATTGCCCTTTGTTAATTTTAACACTTTGAACTTTGTCCGGAATATAACTCTAAAACTATAAAAGATATCAAGATGAAACATTGTAGGTAAATGGATCTCATTGAGTAGAGGTGCAGTGCAAAAGAACCATAACTCTGCCTTGCCTAATTTTGGAGTTATTGCCCTTTGTTTATTTTTACTTTTTGAAGTTGTCCGGGACATAACTGGGAAATCATAAGAGGTACATCAGGAAACTTTGTAGGTTGATCGATCACATTGATTAGAAGTACAGTGCAAAGAACAGTAACTCTGCCTTGCCTTATTTCCGAATTATTGCACTTTGAACTTTTTCCAGGGACATAACTCTGAAACTATGAGAGGTGTACTTTCCTGTGTCCAAAACCTATTCGGGGAGCATCACCCGGCTCAAACAAGGCTCTTGTTAAATGACTTTCGGCAGTGAAAAATTGTGAATAATATTAAGGGTTTTCAAACAGGTTTATAGATGATCTTCTAAACTCCATAAACAAAAGAATGATATTCATTAATATCTTGAGTGTTCGTCTTTTCATCCTAAATCTTGTAAAATACGTAAACGTGAATGTAATGTATTAATAAGGAAAAGAGGGATTGAAAGTAAAAGGTGGAGGAAACCGTAGATATGGGACGCTTTAAAGACCGACATAACTTCCGGTATTCTTCCGCCATTTTCAAATCTGATAGAAGGTTTCAGATACTGTTGAATAAAGAATCCTTAATAATCAAATGACTTCTGATTAAAGATTGGTTGTTCTAATTAATGGATTGATGCTATCAATTAATTGTGTAGTTGTAAATGGTTTATCGTCAGATATATTTCAATCGTGTAAGAGTATTTTCCTCCACCTTTTACTTTCAATCCCTCTTTTCCTTATTAATACATTACATTCACGTTTAAAAATTCATTGAAATTCCTCACAGCTGGGGTTCTGGGTCAACTGCCCTTGATATCAGGATGGTGGTAATTGTTGACTTTGCAAGTCACTTGATTTTGCTCTCTTTATACCATTATAAATATAATAACAATTTATCAATTTAATCACATGTTTTCTAGTAATAAGAGAAATAACATTTTGATAATTTCATAGTAAAAATTAAAGAAATACAATTTTCGTTGTACATCGACTATATCTAAATGCCAATAAAAGGAGTGTATCTTAAATAAGTGGAAATATCGTCGGAAATTATAAAATTTACTTCACTCGTTGAAAAGAATAATTTAATGCTCGCAAAAGGCTCTTGCATATTATTTAATTCAACTCGTTCAATAAATTCAGCGCTGAACCTGCACTCATTCAATATTTTATCCTCCATATATTACTTTAGTTTTGTTTTGAAAATGCCACTGCAGCTATTTTCCTTCAATAAATATGTATTTATTTAAATATATTTATCAGGCCGGGATTCATCAAAAGTACCTTCCTGCAAAACAGTTAACGGTATGATGTTTGAAGAGAATGTTGACGGACAGATGGATGTATGAACAGACTGTGTGTGATCACAATAGCCCATCTTGAGCAGTTTGTGCTTTGTTAAAATGCAGCAGCAATGGAAATGAGAACAAACCTCGTGTAAGTAGAACACAATAAAACCTTTTCCGTCAGATGGCATTTCGTAGTGTGCAATGTTTGTGTTGTTCTCTTTAACGAGCTGCAATAAAAAATGATTATTTATTAATTTGAAGTATCAAAAACATATTAATTGTTTTCTTACGAACCATACTTTCAGAACTGTTAAACAAATCATTTATATAGTTATCTGCCATGTACAAACAAATCTTGTTTAACCTTTTAACAAATGTCTTACAACCGTTTATTAGTTTTCTTAATATAACATGAAGGCATGTGAAGAGACAATGTTTTTTAACTATTTGAAATTCTAATTTAAATCAAAAGCATCATGGCAAAGTGAACACTTATCACAAACAGCAGAATAACTGCTTGTTTATACAAATTTATTTTAGTTCAATTGTGTTGGAAGCTTTTAGCTTATTGAAACACTTTCGAGCCAATTAGCATTAAGCAATGAATGTTAAGTTTTTTGCTCAAGTAAAAAAACGTCTTGCTCCTGACTGGGTCCAAATCCACGCAGCCAACAGTAATTCAATTACTAGTCCGACTCGTTAACCACTCTACCAAGCCTCCACTGAACTTAAATGTTTTAACACTTTACTCATAGAAGATAATCATCTACTTATTAATAGTCATGAAAAGACCTTCCTTGAGTTATTTCATATTGCTTTTGACATTTTCATTGCGAACATGACAAAAATGCATGTATTGTCGAACAAAAATAAGATAGTTTCACTTTATAGTTACCCTAAAAATCATTGATCAAGTTTGACTCACATGGATCATGACATTAAATGGAAAGTGTATCATCACACTACTGACACCTAGAACCAGTGTGAGAATTATTTAGTCATCAAGAAAAATTTGAATAACAAAATATTAACCTTTTCTATATCAGACTTGATCACTTCAACACCTGTTTCTAGTCCAAACTTCACAATAGACATACCATATGTTTTATCATTCATAGAGCTACAAAAATACAAATAAAACATCTTCTTCACACTTCTGCCACCAATGACGACTCAATTTACAATCTGTTATTGACAGAATAATTTAAATATCTTAACAAACTTTCAAGAAAATGTCTCAAACACGGTATACATGTATCTGTGAATTTATATTCTGATGATTACACAGCGGCGCAGGGTTATGAAAAAACAATTCACTTCAGCTTATCTATAAATGGAATCGAACTCTCAATAGAAATCTTGTAAGTTAACTGTACAGCAAACTGCAATAATACACATATTATCATACTTCTTGTTAAAATATTACCTTAAACGACAATTTATACAAAAATTGATATTCAAATTGAGAATTATTGCACGGAGTGTTAACGGACAACATTGCTCAGCATAGTCCCGATATGGTCTTAACGCTTTCTGTATAACTTTACAATACAATTCATATTATTATATAAGGTTATATATATATGACCTTAACTGAAATTAAAATACTATAAAATGAATGTTACCATTTTACAAATAAATCATTCATCGTTTTTGATACCGAATTAAGAATGTACGACTGGTGCATATTGACAACTTGTATCTTGTTTAAACGTCTATCTTTAACACAGTTTTTTTTTTGGTTTATGTGAGAAAACAGTCCACCTTACCCACTTTCCTGTATAATTAAGAAGAAATCACCAACTACTAGCAAGTAGCCAATTACTTATTCATCATAATTTCTGAATCAGCGTTGATAGACAAATAACTATTAGACTCAATGCTCGAAAGAAAATTTATTCTGACAATTTCGTCTTGCCCGACGATCTTGGTAGCGACCCCTGGATGACGGAGAATCTAAAAGTGTTAGCGGCAGACACATGTTTCATCTTATCAGTTTTCAATTAAATGTGCTTCCTTAAAAAATACATATTTTTGTGATGCTTACTTAGCCAAAAGCTTATACAGAAAATGCTTACCTTACGCTGAAACGAATGCATTTTTTCTGAGCTGTCGCACTGATACGTATGTCTGTGTTTCTTTTCTTTCTTCCAAAGTTACTGTTTATCTTAGGTTCTATTTCTGGCCGATCTCTAAAATTATCGCTGTCGTAGTCATCATAATCGTAAACGCCCGCACAGTGGCCACACACGTCACAGTTTCTATAAACCATAAAAATACGTTAGTGCTATATCGTGCAATATTGAAAGGTTTTGATGGTGGGTATGTTCAAAAATGATTTCTGTTAATCACAAACTTAAGTTCCTTGCTCAATTTTACTCGAGTTTAGGTACCTTCATGCACTGCCCTTTCATTCATTTATCTTTGAATATTAGTGCAGTCAAAAAGAGATAGCTTACTCTTTTTCAAAAATAAATTGAAGTCAATATATTCAGGAGTGCGTGAGACGAATCTTATCGGAGTAAGTTTGTCACACATTTGAAACAGAAACAATAGAATACACAGGAGAGCTGTGCAATAAAGCAAGATTGTAATCTTTCAGATTGATTTTATTCCATTCATGAATTGTACTAGAGGAAATAAAGAATACAAACGTATTCATAAGCTGTATGTTATTCTTTCATCCCTATTAGTCCAAGAGATGGCGGGGTTTTATTGCAATTTACCGTATCACCAAAAGAAACATCGCCATTATGAAACATATTGTTAGTAGTTTCTAAAAACCCATTTCTTAAGTTACACAGCCCGGGAAAAGGTACAAAAATCCAAGATGGCCGCCAATATGGCCGCCAAAAATTACAAAATACCATTTAATTTTTGTTTTTTGATTTTTTACATACGGATTTTGTACAAAGTAGTTTCAATTGCACAATATCAGATAAAATATGGCTAATTTTTGTTTTAATCATGCAAAAATGACAATTATATGGCAAACTTTTAAATTATCACTCTCAATTTACCAAAAAAGTGGTAAAAAATGGCATTTTTTGACAATATGATGACTTTCGTTTTATCGTATTTACACAATATAAACAAAAATGCATTTAAAGTGTGTGTACTTTATCAATTTAACATAGTTAGACAATTTAAGCATAAAAAAATCATTTACTAGGCATTTATGCCGTAAGATTAGATCTTCAAAAGTGGGTGGGGTAAAATTATTGAAAAAAAAAATCAAAATTACAATATTCCCAAAACTTGCCTTTACATTATAATTTCAGTTTAATGTATAGTAGATTGTGTTTTAATTGTATTTTATTTATCATTTGAACATTTCTTGATAAGTTAAGCTTAACAATTTATTACCTGATCATTTATCACAGATGAGTACAGCTTCAAAAGTGGGTGGGGTAAAATAACCGAGAAAGAAAGAGGAGAAAAAAGAAGAAAAAAGTTCAAATTATTAAGCTTCTAAAACTTGCCTTTACTTTTCAATTTTAGTGTATTTATCATGTAATTGAATTTTGTGATAAGAAATATAAAGATTGTATTACATTAAAGAAGAAAGAAACATCAAGTCATCGCAATTTAAAATTATCACAAAAAATGAATGGTACCGAAACACATTTTTGAGATTTTGTTGCCTTTAGATATATCGTAGAATAAAATAATTTCATAGTTGTCTGTCTTTTATCAGTTGATTATAGAGCTCTTGACAAGTCATTGAAAGTAGTTATACCTTATCATATATCTTATAGTTTTAAAACTCTATAGGGAATAATAACACCTAAACCATTAAATATAATGTTCATCAACTTGCTTTTATTGTTCTATAATATATGTTTAACAATTATATGATGGCATTTTTTATGTTTTGAAAACAAAAATATTGTATGGATAAACACTTTTTTGAAAAGATTTTTTGATAATGATCTTCCAGCAAAAGTTGTAAAATGGATATTCGGTTTCATTACATTTTGATATAAACTTTAATTTTGGTTGATTGGTATCATTTTAACTTTGACTACTATAATATCTAACATGAAAGAAAAGAGAAATGGTTATTGTCATTGATGAAAGGAGCATTTATTAATGAATGTTGTGCAAATATCATACTGAATAAAATCACAGTCATAGAAAATTGCAATAGTGGATAGCAAAAGGTATTTAAGTCTTTATCATATCAATTAAACTTAAAACACAATTTAAATACATATATTCATATAAGTACAATGAAGTATAGATGCATTAATACATTCTGCACAAAAGAAAACAGTCAATTTCAATACTTAAAATAAAAGCAGCATTTTATGCCCTCCCCTACAAAAAATTGAAAGGAATTATTATTTGTACAGTGCTTCCATATTCCTTACTTTGAGTGTGGTCCATACCTTTGCATGTTTTGCATACATTGTGCACTGATGGTCATGTCAAGTCAATAATTATGTCATTCCTGGATGGATTTTTTAAATAACTTAATAAAATGTTTTTTGACATTAGATCGATGTGTCACATTCAAAAATCAAGTCACACTTGAACTTCCGTATTCATAATATGATTAAAAGATGGCGTTGTCTTTCCAACAACATTGTCTTTCATGGATGATTTTTTTACAATTATACATAACTTTTTTTAACATTGATCTGATGTGTATCACGCTAAAACAAGATGTGTTGCTCAAAGTCACCCCTGATTTTTCATTTCATGCGTTGATACTCTTGTCTGGACAACAGATGTGTTGCATGTTTAGGTCGAGTTAATTGTGGGACCATACGCCACGTTTAATGTACTGGCTGAAATAAGTCACATTGAGCTTTCCATGATGACCTCAGTTTTAACACATCTGCGAATGTTTCAAAATTCAAATTTTACTATTTCATGCTGAAGGTTGAATCATCATTGAGGAGGTGCTAATGGGGTGTGGACGGTAGTTTGCACTATCCAGTACCATCCATGAACAGGCTCAATCAAACCAAGTCTGCAACATTTTCAATTTTACTGTTTATTGGAAGTTCTTTAGGGATTGTATTTTTTCCCTATTAACACCTATAACTTATGCCAGACAAGCATTGTTTAGAATACATATGCTCAAAATCGTACAAGCAAATAGAAAGATACACAATATGGCACACTTACGCCCGGTTCGATTATGCCTATTTTTTGGACAGCAGTGATATATGCAAGCTTCTAACAACGTCCTCCAAGCAAAATTCAGTATTTAAACAAAAATGTAATGAAATTATAATAGTGAAACTTAAAATTTTAAGCATCCGTAGACAAGTTCATAAGACGGTAATCAAGGGATCTTTAATGTAATTATTGCGACACTCCATGAAAAACAGTGTATGAACCCAAGTAAAATAATGCGTGTAGCCTAAATATGAAAATTATGTTGAACTTAATAACTGAACTTTTTAAAATAGGGTTATGAAGTCTTAATATCAGATAAAAGCCAACAAAGGAGAACTCTTAAGTCAGGCAACACATCCTTAATGGTGATATTCAGTAATCACGAAGGAATACTAGAACTACCCAACAGGAAAAAAGTCAAAAAGAAGAAACTAAAACTATGCAGCACAGCAATGTTATTGTGCTGAACGATTTTCAAGGATAAAAAATATAACATCCCAGATTGATCAAACTGTCAGGAGCTGATGCATCATTTTTCCCATCTACACAGTCAGTTCTCAGTGTGACTCCCAAAGTACTGACATTTAAAATCTTATTTCTGCTGAATAGTGAGACTACACATAACATAGCTAGTGGATCTGAAGGAAACAGCGACTATGTACTTATAGATGTAAATTACAACTAAATGCTGGTCGGTTGCTTTATGTGAAAATTGTTGCTTTTAAATCGACTTTTGTACAGAATGTATTAGTGCATACTTTCAAGATGTATGTATTTCTGTGACAAGTATTGATAGCTTAAACATGTTTTAACTATTTGAATGTTTTGTGTGCAGTTACTTTCACAACTTTTGCTAAACTTATTCATATATGATTGCTAATTTTATAAATGACAATACTTGTTACCTTTGTCAAATTAAAAAATGATGATGTGTTTATATCAAATTTCACAACTACACTCTCACAAAATGCATTACAAAGATATCATGGTTCTTGATTAATATATAAGTGTGTCTTTTGATGTTTTTAATGCACTTGTTCTTGATTGTAATTATGATGCAAAATTTCTTACCTTTATCAAAGGCACATTATGCCTCAAAAACAAATAAATTAAATAATGGTTTAAGAGAAAATAAGATGCTTGTTACCTGAATAAAACAGCGATAAATCTATAATTCTTTGTAGTAAATGTAGCAAAATGTAAGCAAAGTAATATTTTAGCTTCCATACAAAATACTAATTCACTTTACTTATTGCAAAAATGTAACAGATAAAAAAAGTTCTGGTGATTGGCCAGTGAGTAACGATATGGATAACATAAACCTATAACAAAATTTATAAAAAGGTTTAGAGAAAGGAAGATAAAAGCTTGTCTGAGGCATAATGGGCCTTTAACAAAAACATAACCAATTATGTACAGGTGTTGTAAACATGTATCAGAATTAATGAAATTACATTTTTTGGTAGAAAGAACGTAATAAAAACTGTATCTGCCCATAAGTGTATGTTGTATAAGCATCGTGATGTCTTCAGGTTTAAGTTCAATTTTATCCCACACACTTTTTAGTGCTACTCTTCTGAGACACATGCCTCGCGACAATTTAAATTAAAGACACTTAAATCTATTTTATGTTACAAAGATGAAACAAAAGTTACAAAAATACTAGCATTTTGTTTTCATACATTTATGTGTGAATTAATTATAATAAATAAAACATTTAAATGATGTTTTTTTTTCTTAGTTTATTAAAGAATTTATAAACTGAAATTTGAAAATACTTGTAATTGCAATACAGCCTGTTTTTTTAAACATAAAATAAACATCTTTTTGAGAACAAACATACAAGATTTGATACGTTTTTTCTCCATACACTATAGATAAACACAGTATAAATACATAACGTCATTATAATTGGCGTTTTTTAGTGAGGACCATATTAACTTGACCAACAATATGGAGTACAGCTTTCCAAACTTTTTATTAAAAAATATTCAGTAAGAATTTCGTAGATTTCACAAAAATATCTGCAATAAACGTGTTTAACCAAAATATGACTATGCTAGGTTCATCGTTAACATAATTTATTTATAATTATTGTCAGAAAATGGCAAAACATGACTATTAAACATTAAAAAGTAAAAGCATGTTCAATTATCACTTTAATTTTGAAAGTGTTTTGTTGGACCCATTTTTTTTAACTCTATCCCTGTGTGATACATTCTCTTGTAATGATTTTTACGCCAAACTAATACAGCTATAATCAGCTAATACAACTGTAGCACAACTCTTCTACTTTGTGTCAAAAAGATATACTAAAAGGCAACAAAATGCAAAAACTGTGTTATTTTACCTGTTAAAGTTTTGGTTAATTGTGATTATCTTAAAGGGTTGCTATGACATGATGTTTATTTACTTCTTAACTGTAATAAATATTTATTTTATATTTTACCACAAAATTCAATTAATATATTATTATTGCACTAAAATTGTGAAATAAGGGCAAGTTTAAGGACTTTATTAATTTTGAACGGGCTTTCTTGGGGTTATTTTACCCCATCCACTTTTGAAGCTGTACACTTCTGTTATAAATGCGTCAGGTTATGAATTTTTATGCTTAACTTATCAACAAATGTTAAAATGATAAAGAACATACAACTAAAACACAATTTCCTATACATTAAACTGAAATTATAAAGTAAAGGCAAGTTTTGAGAACATTGTAATTTAATTTTTTTTTCTGTGATATTACCCCACCCACTTTTGAAGATCTACTCTTACGGCATAAATGCCCAGAAAATGATTTTTTTATGCTTAACTTGTCTAACTATGTTAAATTGATAAAGTACAAACACTTTAAATGCATTTTTGTTTATATTGTGTAAATACAGAAAAACGAAAGTCATCATATTGTCAAAAAATGCCATTTTTTACCACTTTTTTGGTAAATTGAGAGTGATAATTTAAAAGTTTGCCATATAATTGTTATTTTTGCATGATTGAAACATAAATTAGCCATATTTTATCTGATATTGTGCAATTGAAACTTCTTTGTACAAAATCCGTATGTAAAAAATCAAGAAACAAAAATTATATGGTATTTAGTAATTTCTGGCGGCCATATTGGCGGCCATCTTGGATTTTTGTACTTTTGCCCGGGCTGTGTAACTTAAAAAATGGGTTTTTGGAAACTACAAATAATATGCTTTATAATGGCAATGTTTCTTTTGGTGATACGGTAAATTGCAATAAAACCCCGCCATCTCTTGGACTATATAGAATTATTTGAAGAAATAACCAAGATAGGTTTTGAAAATAAAGAAACATTCAAACAAATCGTTTTCAACGTTTTTTTCACTTGAACGTTGACTACAAAAATAGTTTAAATCGTTACATACAGTGATTCAAACTCGATTATTTTCGGCTAATAACATTAATTCAATTTATTAGGAAAACAAATATTTAAAATATCTCCATGATAAGTGCATGTCACTCTTATCTGATTGAGTATGTCACACATTTAAAGCAGGAAAGTAGAAACAACAGAATACGGTTTAAGTTATGTGTCACGCATTTTCATTAAAAGTTCTTCTTAACTGATAGCCTTGATATGTTTTTACTTTATATACAAATATACACAGTTATATTTCGGAACAAGTTTAACTAATAAACGGAAATCGAAAAACGTTTATGTTTTTACCTTTCTTTTGCCAAATTGGTATCAATCGGTAGATCTTCCACCTCTTGAACATCAATATCAGTGATTTTAAAGGGACAAGATTCTTCCGCAGTGGCTGGCCTGTTATAACGGAGATCAATTGACATAACTGCACTTCCAGTTCCCTGAACTTTTACCGTAAGTTTGTTATCTTTTGTCTCAACAGGTAACTATTAAAGAAAGGAAATAATGTTTTATTTAGTATGCCATCCGGTTTAAAGATATACTAAACTCATCCTTAGTTAAATATTTTTTATGCACAGAAATGTTTTGAAATCTATGTAATTTTCAACTGAAAATATTTTAATCACAGGTCTTTTCTTCAAAAACTGCCAGTTTTTATAATAACATAATATTTTCAAATTGCGACCACGTATAGTTATAGAGTTTAAAACATAACATATCTACTTTGTGTGACTTCTAAACATGTTTATCTTATATTTATAAAGAGACTATAACACATATTTAATTTCACTTTCGTATGCCTTCTATTTTTTTCAAAAGAATATTTTTGTTTTCAAACTTTGATTTGTTCTGATTTCGTTTTGACACACAAGGCATGCACTCACACACGCACACATCAACACTGCTTAAATCAAATTCAGATTTTAAGTATCCGTTCATTGACAATACTTGGACATGCATGCCATAAGCATGAATAGGACTACAGATCTTCAAAAGAGCTAACTACTCATTTCATATTAAAGAATCAATCACATTGATTCCTTTCCACAACGACTAGAGGTAGTTGAATGGGATTAAATGCCATTATCAACTAGGCCACTGTCAAAATTTTGAAAATATGTCTTACCCTTGATATATTTTTTAGTAAGATAGCGTTTTCTTTAGTTACTCTTACTGATGAAAACATCGTGCCGTCTGCGAAAAAGAAAACCTTTAGATTAACATCTGGAGAATAGGTAACGATGCTGTACTGAGACAAAGCTTGCAGGCCGACCACTGTATCCTAGACAATTGACAAAAACATTCAACAATAAATTTCCAATTCTTTTGCAAATATTCTGTATAGGATTTAATGGTTTGACGTTATATAACAAGGCTTAACAACAATTATAGTAATAACAAGGTATTATACAAGGTTAATCCACTCGCCTTGAAGAAGTTACATGAATGTTATTACTTGGTTAGAGGAAACTCTTAAAATGCCGTATTATTAAGGTCATGCTACTAATGCTAAGTACAGTTTCAAAGTAAGACAAAAAAGAGTAGTTTTAGTATAACTATTAATATGTGATTTATTCATCTCGTTTCATTTATGTCAGTGTTTTAACCCATTACTTCATAAAGACGTTTTGTCATGCATATACGTCCCCTTTTGAGGCATCAAATGGTTACAAATTGCTTAAGATCTGATGTTAAAAAAGTGATCACTCTTTCGGCGCCGTGCCCTATCAAAAAGATACATCAGGGGGTTCCAGAAGGGGGTGTTCCCCTTCTGCTTAGGGTTTTGAAGAGGGACAGAACCCCCTTCATCGCCAAGAAGATTTGAGACTTGAGATAGGCTATAATTGACCTCAGGTCGAGCAGAGGGTAATGTGTAACAAAAGCTGATAAATCTTTGACACTATTTAAATTCATTGAGAAGTTGCAGCACTTTGAAATCAGTTTGATGGATAAATCAAAGCAAAATAGTGATTTTTGGCAATTTTAAGATGTCCCTTAATTGCAGTGGTAACATGAAATTTAATGGTATAATGAAATTTAAGATTGGGCATGCCGTTACAAAGGCAACGATTCAGTTAATATTTGTGCCAAAATTGATGATTATTGAAGCATCTTTTATCATTTCATAGCAATTTGAACTTGTAGCAGGAGGATTTCGAATGACAACAGTCATTTTTACAAATTGCTTACAGAGTAATTTCTAAATTCCCGTCAAATTTACTGCTTTATCTTTGTATTTTAACTCCGCTTAGGTCAAATTTGACTTACCGAGACTCCTGTGTAGTCGAAAAGAAAATTTGGTCCCGTCAATTAAAGTCCCATATTTTTTTCATCTCAATTAGTTGAAGTGTAAAAACAGCCGACTGATCAAAGGTCGGCGACATCATGATGAGGTGTTGTCACTCGTGATTCACATGTTTCATGGTAATTTTAAATCCCGGTCATCATGTATTTTCATAGCAATTTGAACTTGTAGCAGGAGGATTTCGAATGACAACAGTCATTTTTACAAATTGCTTACATAGTAATGGGTAAGTTTGAAGAAAATCATTCAAGTACTTTTTGAGTTATGCTCTAAAATAAATTTTGAAAAAGAGGAATAACTCTAAAAGAAGGTATGATTGAGTTATTGTTCTTGCACACTGCACTTCTTATAATTGTGCTTTGTCAGTGTCTTAAGTTTGCAGAACGTCCCTCATGCACTGTATTAGTTATGCGTCCGACAGTTTTCGAAAAAATCCAACAAAGGAAAAAAAAATCTAAAACTAAGCAAGGCAGTGTTATTGAACTTAAACACTTCACTTTCTTCCTATGTACTATGTCAGTGTATGAAAGTTATAAAAACATTTTCTTTTGCAGTTGTGCTACGAACCAAATTTTACAAGTAAACCTAGTAACGGGAAACAACTCTTAAAGTAGGAAAGGAAGAGTTATTGTTATTGCACCCTGCACTTCCTACTTATGTGCTATGCCAGTGTATAAAATTTTGAAAAGAATTCCTCAACTACTTTTTGAGTTATGGTTAAGACAAGAAAATCTGATAAAGTGGAATTACTTTAATAGTAGGTTAAGGAGACTACAGTTGACCTTCAATAAGTCAAAATCGCTTTACTCAAAATTCCGCGTTACTTGAAAAATTTCTTAAGTCCCGTCAAATTTCCTGCTTTATCTTTGTATTTTAACACCGCTTAGGTCAAATTTTGACTTACCGAGACACCTGTGTATTCGAATGAAAATGAGCGTAAACGCTTCTTAAAACCTTATTATTTTAGAAGACCAAATATGATCAAAACATATGAATTAATGAATACTCACAATAAACAGGAACGTCTCAAATTATGTAAATTTGTTAAGTGTATACTAAGTAGAATTTAAGGCATTGACCACTATGTAATAATTAAAATAGAACTTTTTTTCTCCGAATATCAAAAGCGCTGCAAAGTCTCTGTTTCGTTTTGGGAGACCTAGTGGCACTCATTAATAGTATCCCGCATTTCAACTAGACCACAGATCTTTGATTTTTCTAAATGAAAGGTCAGAAGAAGTTGTCTAGGTTAAGAAGTAAAAACCAACTACACTTTCGTATCTCAATATCTAATGCTATTTTTCACTATATGCAAATGTGTTTTTTCTATCAACATTATACAAAAGAACTATTTTTTCCCTCTTTGGGCCTATGATTAAGCTTTTCGCTAATTAAATATTAAAAGATCGTGTGGGAACTGTGGCCTCCGACACCTTTGTATAGGACTCACCGTGAAGTCGGGGGTACTCCTGTCTCCCGACCGCCATTGGGAAGCCGAGGGACAGGAGTGCACCTGGCACGGCCTGGGGCGCGTTTCATCGCAGGAAGACCTTATTGGAGCTTCCATGTCCCAGGTCGTGCTCTGATTGAGTTCAGGTCCACGATAGAGTAGACGGAGACCCCAGTTCCCGCCGATCAGAAAGTTTTTCTAGATCATATTCAAATTCACTCTGTATAACTAAACACTTGAATATTACCTAACACTTTAACTAGAGAGAAGTAAATGCAACAACATCTACCTACAAAGCTATTTTTGTTATCTCCCCTCATCTACTATTCGCATCTTAATACCATACCTTTTACGCGCGCGTGTGTGTGTGTGTGTGTGTGACGAGAAAAATGAAACAATACCTTTGAAAGTAATACAAGCTTTCTTTATTACTTAATATGTTTTAATAATATATATACACAACAGTTTTAGCTCTCCACGTACTTAAAAACTGGAAGCACAATTCTATTATATTTTTCGCTAGTATGTTAATTAACTGCTATTTGAGCCTCATTATACTTTATTCATGTTTATTACTCCATAATGTCATGTTTGTACATGGAATGAGAGAATAAAATGTTTTTGACTTGACTTGACTTGACTCGAAAAGAAAATTTTGGTCCTGTCAACTTTATCCCACATTTTTTTCATCTCAATTAGTCGAAGTGTGAAAACAGCCGACTGATCAAAGGTCGGTGAGATTTTGTCACTCGTGATTCACACGTTCCATGGTAATTTTAATTGCCGGTCATCATGTATTATTAACACATCGTAAAAGTGGCTTTAATCGGTTTCCGGACATAATTGGTTTTAACATTTAGATAACTAAATTACAATACAATATACAATAATAGTTTATTCAACATTAAACATTTTACTATGTTTTTAGCATACAGAGTATAATATACAAAGAGAACATGGTTTACAGAAGAGTACATGATTATCAATAATGATTAATACTAAATTGATAATATTTTACTTTTGATACAAGAAAAAAGACTGGTCATTTAAATATAAATTGATCAGCTACACAAGGTTTCTCATTATACCTCCCGCGCGTAAAATGAGATTCTCGTGCGCGTGTAAATACTTAAAATACTTCTATCTAGTAGAAAACCAACTAAATACGGGAAAAAATCGTGAGTTAAACTAATTATAGATTGAACATGCTGTATGAACTTTTATTTACGCGTCGCGACTTAGATTCGCATAGTATATAAATTTAGCTACATTATAAATAGTTTTATTCGAACGTGATGATAATAGTAACTCAGGTTTCTTGATATTTGGCCAGTGAGAGAAATAATGCTGAACATATTTTTTTCTCAAATCACGATAAAAAGGACAAACTAGAAGAAAATGGTATTCCGATTCAATTTGATATATATTACATAACCTACATAATCTATCTTCTCTTTGGATGTTATTATATCTTCAAGTTTCAATATTTAAGCTATGTGACGAAGTTCTTAATCTAGTTAATGCTATTCGGTATTTATTTTCGTAGATGATATTAAGGTATTTCTCAAGCTCGAATTCATGTTTATATATCGCTATGAATTAAGTCGATTTGAATTATTAATTTCCTCATTTTTGCATGTATGAATCATAAATTCTTTTCTTAATTTCATCGAAAGGAATGTCGATTTCAAATTGGTGAACCCAAATATAACTAAAACCATGGCTATCTAGTATAGTCTTGATTTGATACGCCCAGTTATTTCGTGCGTAATGTCTATTAAAATCAGTGTCATTTTTAAGCATTAGAAATGTCTGTAAAATCAGTGAATTTGAGTTTTGCGATAATATTTTCATCCAGTATTTTAACATAGTAATCTTTAGCACAATTTCAAGGGGAAACGCCCAGTTTCACCATATAGTGCCGATAGTTTGGTTGATCGTTTAACGCAAAGTATTCGTCGTAAATATTTCGTGTGTACAACTTCTATCTCCCTGGCCTTATGATGCCCCCAAATCTCAGATCCAAAGTTAAGAACTGAACGAACCAACGTGTCAAATAAGTAAAATTTCTTTGAAAAAGTAAAATCTGCGTTATTAAACAAACGAAACAAATTAAATAATGCAAACGATGCGTCCTGAGCAATACATTTTTGTGTCCTCGACCAATTGCCATTTTTAAAAAGAGTAATTCCTAAGTACTTAAAGGAGTCTACTATTTTAAGTTGTGTGTCATTAATATTAAAAGAAAAAATTGTGGTTCTTCCCTTTTCAAAGATCATGACCTTGGTTTTTGACGTATTTATTTTCAAATCCAAAGTATTACTATAAACAACGACGTCATTTAACATTGACTGTAAACTTTCAGGGGACATTGCAAACAGCACTTGATCATCTGCATATAGAATGAGAAATAATTTTTGTTCATTTAGACTAAATATATCATCTATGTCAGTATTTAAGTTTTGTATTATATCACTAACGAAGAGCATGAACAACAGAGGCGAGCTCGGGTCTCCCTGCTTGAGATTGAAGAAATCGGAATATGTATTTTTAAACCTTACACAAGATTTTACTACAGTATACATCGATTTGATAGCTCGAACAAATTTGGAACTGAGATTTGCAGCAACAAGTTTTTCATATAAAAATATCTATCTATTTTATCAAAGCATTGTTGGTAATCTATAAAGGCGCAATATAGCGTTTTCCCAGAATAAAGTACCTTAAGAATAATACAATGGAGAATAAATATACAATCAGTTACCGATTTACCCTTTTGAAAGCCAAATTGGTTTTTGGAAATTTCCTCATATTTGTTTCACCAGGAAGTTAACCTATTCAAAAGTAATTGTGACAATGTTTTTGGTAATGTATTAATAAGAGTAATGCCACGATAATTCTCAGTCTTATTTACATCTTTTTTTTTAAATATGGGGGCGATTATTCCTTCACCCCAACTTACTGGATATTCCCCTGTATTAAATAATTTGTTATACAGGTTTAAAAAAAAAGGGGGAAATAATATCATATAAGGTTTTAAGCATTTCGCAAGTAATCTGATAACTGCTTGGCGAATTATTATTTTTCTGCGATAAATGGAAGTCGGTAACTCTGTTTCTGTAAAATTTATATCAATTTCCGGAAATTCGGAACCGACGAAGACATTACCACTTAATTATATCGTTTGAGCTGGTTTCCCCAAAAAGTGTTTGAAATGATCACGTAGGTCATTAATATTAAGAGATTCTGGGTTGTGTATGACATTCTTATTTATTTTTTTCAGGGTTTTCCAGAAATTTCTAGAATTTTTCTTTGCTAGATCTTCTAGTCTTTTGCCCTCGTTAATTTGGAATTTCCGTTTCGCGATTTTTTTAACTTTGTTATATTTTGTTCGCGCGTGCACAAAGTTCCGTCTGATATCATCATTATCTCTGTTACGCAATATATTTCGGACGCTATTGAACTGACGTTTTCGCGTCAACAAGCATAGTCAAACCAATTATTTTTGTTTTGGCGAGTATTAATTTTTTCTTCGTTTGTTTGTTGTCTGAATACACCAGAAACAGATTTTAAAAGTTCCGATGAAAAGTTTTCAACAACAACATCTATTGGTTCTATATTTAAAGCGTTTGATAATTGCAAAAACGTATTTCTTTTATTATTTATATTTTCTGTAAAAAGACTGACTTTATTTTGATCCCATACAAGTCTTTGTATAAATGTATTATTAACGGAAGGTACTGACTGATAGTTTTTGTTTAAATTCTTTCTAGGCAAACTAAACGTTAAAGGCGCGTGGTTCGAAAATGAGTTGAAATCGAGAATTTCGAAACTCAATAATGAGTCGAAATCATGACGGTGTAATAGTAAGTAGTCTACAGTACATTGTCCTTGATGTGAACAGTAAGTGTAATCGCCCGTATCGCAGTCATGTGACACCATACCGTTTGCTATCGACAAACCGGTTGATACACACAAATCCAGCAGACGACGCCCGTGCGTATCAATGACGTGGTCTCTGTTAACTCGTTCGGGTATGTTTATTCGGTTAACAAAAGGGTAGTTTTCGTCTAAGTAATTATCAAATAGAAAATAGTCAGGCAAATCGGCGGTGCGACTATTAAAATCGCCAACTACGTATATTTTGCCTAATTCGTTATATTTCAAAATATCATTTTCTAAATTTTCAAAAAAATCAAATTCCTCCTGTTTAATTACCTTAGAATTTACGGGAGGTATATACAAGTGACATATAAATACATCTTCATTAAATGAAAATAGTTCTTGACTTAATTTAATCCACATATATCCATATTGGTTCATTTCTGCTACAGTTATATATTTTTTAATATCATTATTTAAGTATAAAGAAAAACCGCCACTGTATCTACCTCTGCTATTGTTCTTTACCTTATTTCCATTAAGTTGAATGCAAGTAAATCCAAAAATATCATATCTATATAAATCTTGTTTTCGAAATCCAAGTCTCATTTAGAAACACTAAATCATAACTAGATATAAACGAAATAAAATCATTATCAGTAATATGTCTTATTAGTCCGTTGACATTCCAACACAGTACATTTAGGGGTAACTCTTCATGACATCTCTAGTATTCACTACTCGGTTTGTATTCTACATTATTAATGAATAATTTTGTTTCGATGAATTTTACAGATTTACCGGCCTTTTTCGCCTCTTCCATTTTCGGATACAGCGGTCTTCTAGCATCACACACTGCCCTAGGTAGTTGAATCCCGATCCCACGTGCTACATCCCTCAAGTCGTCTGCTTGATCGAAAGACGCGGACCTTACACGTTCTCGCTGATGAGTGAGTATAAAACGCTACAATAGGACGTGTTTTTCAAGGCGAACGTTTTCCAAGACGATAGGGGGGTTTCTCAAACCAAAATGTTTCAGCGTCAGACAATATCAACGTATCTCTGCATAGCTCTTTTATTAGGTTTCCGCAGTTCTCGTCTGGTTCCTTGGAAAATCCATAAAACAAAAGGTTATTCTGCAGTGACTGCATTTCTAGATTTATAACCTGTTGTTCAAGTTTCTCCTGCATCCCGCATATCTGAGTGGATTGTGATTCTACAAAGTTAAAATCCTTTTTTTATATTTTTCAGGTCACTTCGTGTGTCTTTTAATTCACGATGCATCGAATCATTGTCCTTAGACAAGTATTCACAGCATTTTTCAGTTTCAGTGATCCTAGTACCGAATGATTTCATTTTTGATTCTATGTCTGTCATTTTTATATTTAATGGATGAAATTGACTTCTCAATTTTATCGATAGAATGAAGTTTTTCCTTTATCATTTTTACGTCATTTATGAGTACAGTCGCCCATTGTGGTGGATTTGAAGGGAATCCAGCGCCTGGCGTTGGGAACCCGAACCCCATGGATGGCGGCGGGCCCGTAGCATATGACGGCTGAATCATTCCGAATGGAGCGCAGGAAAAGCCATAGGCCAATCTATAAAGTGATTACATACAGTTTGTGTATTATCACTAGTGTGTTTGCTTTTTTTATTCCTATATTTATTTGTCCGTTGCGTTTTGTTATCACTACACGTCTCACTACACTCGTGTAAATCACCATACGAGTAGTCCGTGCAATCCGTTTCATTGCCCTCTAACAAAGGTTACGTGGCTTCACGTTTATATTTTGATTTTTCAGACAAAAGTTCACTTTTTTCACTCTTTTTCTTATCGGACATTAGAACACATATACTGAAATTACTTTATATCCACATGTTGTTAACTAAATCCTTTAGAAATATTGTAAAAATTGACATTTTATCGGACCGTTCTAAACCACGTTCTCCGTGTACAATATCACGTGACAATTAAGATTTAACTACATTTCTTAAAGAAAGATGACTCGTGCCAGTTTGACAGGTGTTAGTCAAATAACAGCCAATTATCAACGTAAAATGACATTTGTATAATTAATGTTCCGTTACATTGCATACATTGATATGTATTTCCGGTTCACGATAGTTGCTACTTTCGTTTTCGTCCGATAATCAATTCAAGAAATAAATGTGTAATAGTGCTTTTATTATAATGATTTGTCATGAGTGCTTATTAAAAGCATGTGCTTGACTGATGAATACTGACAAACTTACATTTTTATCATTGCTACGAATGTTTATGTTTATGTTTCACTATTAATATACATGTATTAAATTTTGAATATTTTTGTTCATTTATAATTTGTAGTTGTAAATGAGTTACCGTCATTTCAACGGTTACATGTTGCAGCATTGTCGCTATTAACAATAACAAATCTACTTCTTTGCACATTCAATCAGGCACATGTATATACATGTACTAATGTCAATGCAATGACGGCAGATCCACGTTACTTGAATTCCGTTTCTCTCAAAGTAAAATGCCCAGTCTTTTGGATTCCGAGTTCCCATTGTTTTTGAACACTGCACTTATTTCTTCCATGTGCTCTGTTATTGTATGAACAAAATAGCTCGAGTACTTTTGGAGTCATGCTCCGGACAAAATTGGTACGGACGAACGTTAAAAATTGGAACGGACGCACTAACGCACGGATGCACAGACGGAGATCATTTCTAATTTTTATCTAATATAGATAATAAGCAAGAGGAGGAATTGGAAAGTAATATCCATGATGATGATAATTATAGTAGTACTGATGATAATAGTAATGATGATGATGATATTGATAATAATAGAAGTAAAAATGATTATGACCATGCTGCTGTTGATGATATATGAGTATTTATAATGATGAAGATGATGATGTTATTAGAATTAATAAAATTTATAATGATGATGAAGATGTTGATGAAAATAGTAAAAATAATGATGATGATAATGATAGTAGTAGCAATAATAATAATAATAATAATAATAATAATAATAATAATAATAATAATGATAATAATAATAAGAAACATAATAATAATATTAATAATAATAAAAATAATATTAAAAATATCAATAATATTAATAAAATAATAATAATAATAATAATAATAATGATAATACATTATAATTATAATAATAATAATAATAATAATAATGGTAATAATGATAATAATGATAATAATAATAATAATGATGATGATGATGATGATGATAATGATGATTTAAGTAAAAAAAAATAGAAATCTGTGATATAAATTAAAAGAAAAAAAAACAAATTAATAAAAATAGTAAGATAAACAGCCGAATAATAAACATCATAATTATAATGATTTGATTTTCGAAAATAAATATGTCTATCAAAGTTACCTGTGTTGTTCTAAATGACCCTGTGCCACCTCTTTGAGACGTAAGCCAACTTACAATTGATGAACTTGTTTTTATGTCCCCGAATTTCAACATAGCAAGAAGGGCGTATGCTGTTGTTTCTACAGAATGGGCGTTTGCTGGTTTATCTCCCGGATTTCCCCAGAATGTACCCTCTACAAATATACCAGTTTTTACACAGTTGTGACACAAACGAGTCCAATTACTATACAAATTACAAGTAATGACAGAATGAAGATAAATGCTTAATTATTAATCATGAAGTAATGAATATGTATTTTGCTTAATCAAACTGGATACGAAGTTTTAAATCCGTCATTGTTTTAGATGAGATCAGTAGTTCAAGGCTTTAGGTATAGAATCTGGAATTCAAATTAAAAGAAAACTAACCCACAAAAGAGTGAAATATGTTAAAGAGTATTGATTAATGCATTGTCACAATAAAATTAAAAAGAAAAAAAGGAATAAGAAAACTTAAGGCGATTGGAATAACTTACCCCTATCAGTTTTCTTAATGTCATGTAAGAACTTAAAAAATGTAATTGATCTATTGCTGTAGGACATGGCTAAAGCATATGTACTAATTGCCAACAGGTAAGGATTTTTCTTTAACATGTCCTCTGAAAGATCTTCAAGGCACTTAATTGCCCTGTTGACTGTTGCATTAACACCCTAGAAAAAGAAAACGACGTCCAAAAATATTTTGGTTGGTTTTCAGTTGAAAATAAATGTTTAAAGGCTTCCATTTAGTACCTGGTTTGGTGGTGTGGGAGACGACTGAATTTTACTCGAATTAATCAGATGTTTTGACACAAATTCATTTTTTTTTTCACAAAGACTATACCATTTCTTTGTCATTCTTAATCAATTACTCAAAATGCTTAATTTTTTTTGGCTACGCGAATTTTTGTCAAAACGACAAAATTGATTTTATATTTATAAAAGAAACCTTATGGCCTAGACAAAACTTAAGGATCGAAATATCTTTGGAAAAAGAAACCATTTTTTAATTTGTGAATATAATAAGTCGATTTGTGTTGAAACGTCTAATTAAATCGAATTAAAATCGGTCGACAAATCGGAGTTGCGTTCATTAAAATTGATCTTGTTTATCATATTTTACACATGATGCTATCTCTTTTTGAAGGCCCTTTTATGTTTCTGTGCGGTTGTTTTATTCTCGAATTCTTACCGGAAGGTCCGAAGCAGTTAGGAAACCACTTCAAAGTAAGTCAGATGTGAAAATAATGTAAAAAAAAGTTCCATCGAGAACCATTAAAACAAAAGTAAACAAGGGGCACCTCCCTACGGGTGCTCCATTCGATTTGTTATTTCTCAAGTAAACCACAGTGGAGAGAGAATAATTTGTGTAACCTATATTTCATAGTCAAGGTCAAATCTCAAATATGAATTAACAGCACGTGTCCTTGGTCATAGGTGTTCTTTTATCCAAGAATGAATCCATAAATAAAAAGCAATTAAAGCATGGTAAAATAGTTGACCTTGACAGCCATGACTTGAATTTAATTGGTACTTTCTTAGGAAAAAACACACAAACTGCCAGTTTTTGAATGACACTATATATTTATATTGTAACAACCTATAGTGTGTAAAATTTAAACGTAACATGTCTATTATGTGAATAAAAGTATAAATTGTCAATATTTCTATTAAAAAAATTGAGCATAGTTTATCTTCATGAATCATTCTTTTATTTACTCGTACATTTCTTATTAGAGTAATTTAGTTCAAAACTACTTTCAAATAAATAAATTAAAAAGTTAACATTAACAGCATCTTAGAAAAATTATTGAAGCAAACTCAACACTTACAGCATTACTGTTACCACATTCTTGTAAGGTAATCAGTACAAAGGCTGTTAAGGAAGGATCTCTTTCATTGATTTGTCCCTGTTTAGGATAAATAAGCAGATACACTAGCTATCATTTTCCTTCTCATAAACAATAAACATAATTATATAGCTTTGATTTTCATCTTATCAACTGTAAAGATAATTTTCATGTTTATTTTATAAACTATAAACATAACTTTTATTTCCATTTTTAAACTATAAAGTTAACAAAGCTTTAACAATACACACAACTTGCATTCTCAATTTATAAACAATAAAGCTAACATAGTTTTGATTTTCGTTTCATGAACAATAAACATAGCTTTCATTGAATAATAAACATAGCTTTCATTTAAAAACTATAAACATTACTTTCATTTTCATCTCCGAAACGATACACAAAGCTTTAATTTTATAAACAAAAAACAAGGCTTTCAATTTAATTTTATAAACTATAAAATTAACATAGCTTTCATTTTTGTCTCAGCAACTTTAAACATAGCTTTCATTTGATAAACAATAAACATAGCTTTCATTTTAATATAATGAACTACATGTGAAAACGTAGATTTTATTTTTATCTCAGGAATAATAAATAAAGCTTTTATTTTCATTTAATAAACGATAAACATAGCTTTCGTTTTCATATACACATTAAAAGTGATGCATACTTTAAGTATGAAACTTGATTGAAATAAATAATCAAATCCTGATCAGATAACCTCGTTATCAGATTAAAAATAAAGTAATTTAGTGTCTGGTACAGAATTTGATTCTGAGCTTATAATTTATCTATGGAATAAAAATGTTTGATCTTACTATCATTTCCCGGTTTATTACTGGCATATTATCAACAAATGATCCATCAGCTTCAGCGTGATTATTCAGCCAATCAATTGTAAGTTTTACATCTTTTTCTTGATCAACAGCATCATTTACAACCTTACTGGCTTGACAGAACACCTTGGCAACAAATGCTGTGAGCCTATAACATAGTATTAAGAGAAAATTGAATGAGTGAACGTTCAATTCTGAATTTATTGAACGAGTTGAATCATATTTTATCAACGAGTTCAATAAATTAAGTAATGGACTTACTTGAATATAATATCATTTTTTATGACAAACTCAAAATATAGACTGTTTAAAGTGAAAAAAAAATCATTTAAAAAATCATAACGCTAACATATAGCCGCTCTTTACACCGAATTTGTACAACACAAATGGCCTTATGTCAAAATATACATAGCCGTGCAATACCTTGTTTTACAGAGTCGCAAGCAACACCGGCATGTGATAAATATATATACTGTCTGTGTAGTAACTGTCACAAGAAACTTTCACAATCTGATCCACTCGGCTTTTATGCTTCGCAACAGACCTCTGATATAATAAGACGACATATTGGAACTATTTTAGTCACATGGTTCCGCTATTTTGTTTGTTTACGTTATGTATGAGTTTTAAAATTTCAAAATTTACACAATAGTTTTTGTATTTAAAAAATGATACTCGGGTCGGTGTTCAGTAGTTCCTGGAAGTGAGTTACTATAGTTATTACAATATTTTATTATTAACAGGCTTACCAAGTGCTAGGGGTTCGGTCTCGCCAGGCAGCATATGATCCGTCGGCTTGTTTGAATTGGGAAACCTCTCTGTTTACACCTATAAAAACATTCCCATCATAATAAAAGTGTGATTTGCTTGGAAATCAAAGGAAAGCATGAAAGAAAATAAAACATGAAGTTTGAAGTAATGATGAAGTATAAGCTTCTTCTGAAAAACCTCGCACATTGTAGAAGACCATTTGATACTTGAAATCATAAGACCATATTTGAAATCATATTTATCCAAACATCAATTTATAAAATACAGGTACATACTTAAAACTGTAAATAAATACCATCTCTAATCCATTGACTTCCCTTTGTTTCTATGTAAGCGGTCTGTTGTTGTGTTTGTTTTAAGTAGGTCATGGCGTATACAGTTGGTGCCAGCCTAACCATCGTCTGCTCACCGCATCCGGCAGGTTGTTTAATCAAAGAATCCACGCCCTCTATGATCGTATTGACAATATTAGTCATCACATTACCTGTTGAAAAACCATCAAAGTACCAGTCTTTTCGTATAAAATAAGTGTTAAAATTGTATTGCCTTTTCTTTGGTTAAAATAATCTGTAGTGTCGATTATGCCTGTCCTTTTAACCCGTATAAAGTTAGGCCGGCCTAAGCACACTACAGATGAATCAACACTACATACATGTACGCTAATTATATAATAGGCAAAACTATTATGTACTTTTAGTGGACCAACTTTTATTCATTCAATACAGGGATATAAAAGTATAATTTAACACTTATTAACCACCACCTGAACCTTGTTGGAGTGTACCTTGAACGGTAAGTAGACGGGGGACGAATTTCACGCGCACAAATATGAACGAAATCGAAATCACGGGCATTGCCTTTGCTTTACACTGCTGCAGCCAGCGTTGCTACAGTGTTGGCTTAACGGAAGCGAACAGTAGCGAGCTTGGTTTAACGGCAACGCAGTCGTTCTGTGCATGCGGGCGTTGGCTCTGCGGGGGTTTAAAGTTGGTTTAGCGGTATACCGCCTTTGACTACGGAGCTAAACGGATCGTTTTGAAGTTCTCAAAGATTATGATAGAAGTCAATATTTAAATGTTAAACATCCCACGTGGAAAAAAAGAAGGGGAATGAAAGGGCAGCAGCCTCAAAGAAAAATAAATTATTTAAAAAAGGCAGACAGCTAAAAAAAAGGGGAGTAAAGGTAAATTTATATGGCGCACTGGTTGTGTCAAGAAATATTTAACAACTGTGAAAATACACTGTTATGTATTTTTCTTTTTAATTTATTATTCCATTTATTTTGCATGGACCAGCCAGACCACAACAGAAGCCACTGCTAGCGTATCAAATGCTTTTACAGCCTTAGCCACTGCAACCACAGCCCAGGCAAGGGCAGCTGCTGGTGAAGGTAATCACCAATTGAAACGTATGAAATATATTAATAATAATATTATTATTAGCCCATTGAGGCACTGACACAGAACCGGCCTGACGATGAGAAGCTTCCCCAACGTGATGAAGATGATTAAAATGTGATGAATACAATGTAAATCAATACAAATTGATCTAAATAATATATGTTTCATTTATTCATGTATTACTTTTGTTCAATTCCTCTGACTCTCAGCACCCACATTTGGAGAGGGAAGATGAACAGTGTTAGCCTCAGATGATGTCTTGCCACAAGGCCCTCTTTCTCGACAAGGAACTTCCGGAGCAACTCATCGAGTGGCTCCGAAAACACGAACTTAGAAAGAGGGCCCTGATGACAAAGATACTAAGAAGAAGACGGAACTTTGGAACAGGAAGGCAAGGAGGCTGGACATTGAGGAGGGAGCTCAAAGGCCCCTCAGGAAAGTTTGGGGGAAGTCAGTCCGGGACCCTCTATACTAAAACTCCTGCAAAAAGGGTGCAAACGAAATGACCCGGGCAGAGAAAATGTTCATCAAGAGGGAAATACGGTCTTAATGCAAAAGGAATTGAAGCCCTGAAAAGAAACAGCCACTTAAAAAACATACTCTTCAAATTGGAACCCTTTGCCAAACCCGCCTTCCGCAGCCTAGCCCTCGGGGTCGGGCCCGCAAACCCCTTTGCGACGGGCCAGGAACAGAAAGTTTTACGGGAACCCCCTCTCGTTCATTAAAACTCCAGCGATAGTCACGATGTCCCAGGACACACCCTCACCAGATCCCTTATTCACCACCACCAGACCACGCCGTGCCGCCAACAGACCCGTGCCTGAAGACCCCCTGTAATGCTGGGGATAAGGGATTGCATGAAGGCTACCAACGCCCTCCTGGAGAGACAGGTTCAAGCCTAGGAAAATCAGGGGCCCGTCAAGGGGAGACCATCATC